CCGCGCTGCGAGGTGAGCGCCCCAGCGCCGCCCTGGCCCCCCGCTCCGGGCGCCCGCGGGGACACGGGCTCATGGGGGCTCCGCGCGGCCAGCGCACGTGTCCATGCAGCTGGAGACCCTGGAGCAGGAGCTGGAGGAGCGCCTGGAGGTGGGCGGCTTGGGAAGGCACTGGGAGGGCCTGTTTGTCCCGCACCCACCCACGTCCCCTGTCCTGGGTCTGCTCTGGGGGTGCCTGGGGAGATGCTGTGCCCTGTGTGGGACAGGCTGGGGACACCGCTGTCCCCCCAGCTCACATGCCAGGGGCACAGACAGCACCTGGGGTGGGGAGCTTCCCACATGCACCTGGCCATGCTACCTGGGGGTCATGGAGCGGGACAAGGATGGTGCCAAGGGGGATGCTCTCTGCTACCCTGCCTAGATTGAAAGGGATATTGAGGTGACAGGGGGATGTCGCCTCAGAAAGGAGGTGCCCTCGCTCTGTCCTCCCGCCCTGGCACTGTTCCCTCCTCCCCCAGTTCAGAGCTCACCCCATAGAGAAGAAGATCCACATGGTGAGGCAGGGCCAGGAGCTGGTTGTCACCAGGACGCTCCAGGAGGGGCAGGTGAGGCTGGTGTGGGTCTCTCCCTGCCATTCGCCCACAYTGGGGGCCAGCAAAGCCGGGCAGGCCCCCTGGGAGGGGGCGCGTGCCCCACGGGTGCCGAGGCTGGCACCGTGCCGCGTGTCCCGCAGGCGGAGAGCGTGTCCGAGAGCTCCCGCCACAGCGTGGCCAGGCTGCGCGGGGTGCTGGCCGAGGGCGCCAGCCTGCTGCTGCTGCGGGTGCTGGCCCTGCGGCGCGCCGTGCCGCCCGGCCTCGCCTTCCCCACGCTCGACGCCGACGGCCGCCTCTGCACCTGCACCTACGTGAGCTCCCGGGGCCGGGCGAGCGGTGCCCAGGGCTGCGCGGTGCCCAGGGCCGGGGCTGAGCGGGACTCGTCCCCGCAGCGCGCGCTGGGCGTCCAGCAGCAGCTGCTGGGCTCGCAGGAGGCCGAGGTGTTTGTGATTGAGCGGGCYGTGCACCCCGGCACCGGCGTCCCCGTGGCCTGGCACCTCAGCTTCCTGCAGGACGGGTATGGGCACGGCCGTGGGGGCGAGTTACGGGGGGCAGCCTTTCCTGGGGGACAGGACGAAGCCCCCCAGCGTGCCGCGCTGGCACGAGGAGGGCACYGTGACGAGGGTCACCGTGTCTCCATCACTCCGCAGGCGCCTGGCGCGGTGGGTGCAGGTGGGCTGCCCACTGGTGATGCTCCTGCCACGCATGCCCGTCCTCATGGAGACAGGTATGGGGCGGCGGTGGGGGGCACCGGGCCCCTGGCCCCAGCTGAGGGGGCCCTGCCCCTGCCTTGCCTGTCTGCCCCCAGAGGAGGTCGAGCCGCAGCCCRAGTTCCCAAAGGAGCCCCTGGAGTGGGAGGAGGACGCCCAGCTCTACTCGTGCTTCCTGGACAGGAAGGTGAGCGGCGCCTGGGGAGACGTGGGGCGCAGGGCGCGGGTGGCCTTGGGGAGCCGGCGCCTCCCCCACCTGCACCAAGCTGCGAAGGGACCCGGCGGAGCCCAGCGGTGCCGCGGGGGGACAGGGGACACGGGCGGTACCCACGCCGCCCCGCGGCCCCGCAGGAGGAGCTGCAGGCGTCCCACGCCACCTTCGTGCGGCAGCACCCCGAGCTCCGCGCGCTGCTCGCCGACTTCCTGCAGGCGCTGCTGCTCCGGCGGCCGCCCGACCCCGTCGCCTTCGCCGCCGGCTTCTTCGCCCCCTTCGCCCGCCGGCGCCCCCCCGGCGCCCGCTTTGCCGCTGCCCCCGATGCGCTCGGCGCGCCAGCTCCGGGGGAATAAAGGTGCACGTGGTTCCCATGCTCCAGCCTCTGCCACTTTGGGGAACAGAGCAGGGAACTGTGCCCCAGGTCCCCCCAATGCCCTGTGGGGCTGGCAGGGGGGCAGAGGAACAGCTGGATACAACCCGGGCCCCCAAGGGTGCCAGGGTCCCACATGCAGCTGCAGGAGGTGCCCCGTGGCTGCGGAGCAGCCTCATCCAAAGCAGCCGAGTGGGACAAGAAGTGGAACAAGGAAGGCCCGAGTGGGACAACCAGAGCGGCCTGAGTCCCCTCCTCTGGGACAAGGGTGGCCCTGGTCACGGCGCCGCGAGCCGGGGGTGCCGCCGTGCGCAGCGCCGCCCAGCTGAGTGCGCGCTCTGCTCCCGGGCTTGTGCAACGCGCTCCCGCTTCCTCCTGCCTCCCGGCCTTTCCCCCACTGCCTCGGGGCCGGCAGCGCCGCGGCGCTGCGGGGACGCCTGTCCCTGTCCCCCAGCGCCCTGCGCAAGGAGCACGTGAGGGGCGCGCGTGCGGAGGCGCCCCCKCAGCCGGGATGCGCTCCGGGCAGCCGGCAGTGGGGCAGGTGCCCCCAGGTTGGGGGGCACCCCYGTGTGCGCAGCAAGGGCAGGTGCCCGTGACCCCGATGCTGCTGCGCTGCCCCCGCTCCCGCCCAGGCTGCGGGCACCGGGGCTGAGGCTCCGCGCGCTCGTGTCACCCAGCCCCCCTGCAGGGAGCCTTGGCTCCCAGTCCAGGTCGGAGCGTGGGGAAGCAGCACTTCCTCCTCCTCCTCCTCCTCCTTTTCCTCTGTGTGGGGGGGGGGAGCTGGGGGGAGGCTTTAAGAGCCGGGACGGAGCCCAGTGTCAGGGTTAGGGAGCCCCAGCACCGCATCCGGATCAGGTCCAGCCATGGCCCTGCTGGAGCCAGGTGAGATCCTCTCCTCCTTCCTCCCCTCCTCCCTGGACACAGGACCTTGTCCCTAACGAGCCCCTCTTCCTCTCCCCCAGGGTTGCCTGGCTCTGCTCCCTCCCTGCCTGTGGGAAACTCCTGGCTTTTCCCTCCCACTCCATTCTCCTTCCCTGGGACACCTGGGCTCCTTCCCCTCTGGGGCAGGTTCGTATCCAGCCTCCCCAGCACCCCAAGYTCTATCCTGTGTCCCCCGGCCCAGATTCCTGGGTCCCCCAGGGTGAGCCCAGTTGTTTGCCCTCACTTCCCTCCCCCAAACCCCTTGGTGATTCACAGATTCCCTGCATGGTCCTGGGAYGGGCCAATGGATTGGGGGACTGGGAACAACAGATTTCTGCTGTCTCCCCCCATCCCCATCTCTGCCCACCCCTCACCAGGAGCCCAGAGCGGGACCCCATCCTGTCCCTCCTGCCCTTAAACACACCTGGGCTTTTGGACTGGGGAAGACTGGGCTGGGACCAGGGCTTTTTAGGGACATTCAAATCCCAGGCGGCATCCAGCCCCAGGCACAGCCAGCCCCACGTTGCCCCCGTTGACATGCGCCGCCCCACACACACTTTGGGCCAAGCTGGGGGCTCWGCTGCAGCACGGGAGGAGGGCAGGGAGCAAAGCTGGGCCCCATCTGCAGAGCGCAGCCGGGACCGGGGTGCTCCCCACGAGCGTGGCCCGCCCGTGCCCACATCCCGCGGCGGCTGCCACGTCCCTTCCTCCTCTTCCTCACCCGCAGGCTTCACGGGCTCCCTGAACCATGACCAGAAGGGCGCGAGCGGCTGCCCCGTGTCCCCGCAGCGCCCGCAGCGCCCGCAGCTCCCCAGCGCCCAGGATCAGACCTATCTGAACGAGCTCATCAGCATCCCCAGGGGCAGCGGGGTATGTCCTGCCCCCGGCAGAGACTGCAGGGGACGGCACCGCATGGGSATGTGGAGTTTGGGGTGGGAATGATGATCCCAGGACACTGGTGCTTCCCGGCCCAGCCCGGATGAGGCGGCGGAGGGGGGCAGCCCTGCAGGGCAGCCCAGSCCTGACGGTTCCCGCAGGCGGAAGGGAGAAGGGGAAGGGATGGAGGGTGCCCTGCCAGGAGCGCTTGTGCAAGCAGGGCGGCGTTGCACAGGGCTGTGGGGCGCCCTTACAGCAACCTCGGGGCTCCCCAGGCGCGCGGCACCTCCGCCCAGACCGGGACACGGTTACGCCTGCCCTGTCCCGGGCTAGCTCGGGGTGTCCGTGTCCCCAGCACTGAGGAAGAGGAGCTGGGGTCAGCGTCCCTCCCTGCACCATCCAAAGTAGGGGAGGAATGGCACCAGGATCGCCCAGCTCAGCCGGAGGAGCAGCCGGGGGGAGGATGCTCCGGGGTGGGAGCAGCCGGAGCAGGGGCTTCTCCCGGGCCCCGCACTGACCTGCTGCCCCGTCCCAGCCCGGCTTCAGCTTTCGGAAGCTCTGGGCCTTCACGGGTCCCGGCTTCCTCATGAGCATCGCGTACCTGGACCCGGGCAACGTGGAGTCGGACCTGCAGTGCGGGGCCGTGGCCGGCTTCAAGGTGAGCGGGACCGGGCAGCCCCGCGGGGCAGGAAGCAGCCCCGGGTTTTGTAACGGCTCCCGCCGCAACGGCCGCGCGCCCGCCCGGATGCCAGGGCTGCCGTTCCCTCGCCCRGGGCGCGGGAAGGGCCGGCTCAGCTCTTGGGCACGGGGTGGCACCCGGGGGGGCAGCAGGGCCACCCCGAGGGACTCTGCCCCACGCCAGGGCTGGCACCCCCCATGGGGGCTCCTGGGGGTGGGCAGCTGGGGGGAGGATGGGCCAAGGGGCAGATCCTGCCCGGTCCTCAGCGCCGCCGGCTCCCTGTGCGCCCGCAGCTGCTGTGGGTGCTGCTGTGGGCCACGGTGCTGGGGCTGCTGTGCCAGCGCCTGGCCATCCGCCTGGGCGTCGTCACCGGCAGGGACCTGGGCGAGATCTGCTACCTCTACTACCCCAAGGTGAGCAGCGCCGGGGCGCACGGAGAGCTCTGGGGGGCACAACAAGGAAGCCTTGCAGGGGCACGGGGGCAGCGCTGTGGGGGACGTAGAGGGGCCAGGAGATGCTCTGTGAGCCCCTGCTCTTCCAGGCTCCCCCCAGATGCCCCAGGTGCCCCCCAGCCCGGAGCCCCACATCCYTGCTGATGCTGGGGGGCGGGTATCCAGGCCAGGGGTTTCCCAGAGTGGGGGGTGCCGCCCRCGTCCCAGCCCAGGACAGCTTGGGGACGCATCGGCAGCCGCGGCAGGTTGGGTCCTGCCCACTCCAGGCTGCTCCCGCCCTCCKCTGGCATCGGGTGCCAGGTCCCACCCTGCAGCCCCCCGGCCCGGTTTGGCCCCAGACCCCCTGCCTGCCCCTCTGCCCCCAAAGCAGAGCCAGCTCTGGGCTCCAATAGCTGCAGGGACAAAACCGGGGCCAGGGAATACATAGCCCAGACACGGGTGAAAGGAGCAGGGGGGCACTGGGGACAGGATCAGATTGTAAAGAGGGGGCCCTGGCCAGAGCTGGGRGGGCAGCAGGAAGCTGGAGGGGAATGGGAGGGATGAGCAAGACACTGGCAGGAGAAATAATCCCATGTTCCCCCTGTCCCAGCATCTCCCTCAGTGTTGGATCTGGTTCTGGGCAGGGACATGGTGGGATGTGGGAGCAGGGGCTGCAGGATCCCACTCCTGGCCACCTGGGGTGCTGCTCTGCTCGGGGCTGCTCTGCTGCACCCTGGGGAACAGGGACAGGGGTCTGGGTGACACAGGGGCCTCGCTGCGCCCCGGCTCCCTGCCCTCCAGGTGCCCCGGGTGCTGCTGTGGCTCATGATTGAAATCGCCATCATCGGCTCGGACATGCAGGAGGTCATCGGGACGGCCATCGCCTTCAGCCTGCTCTCGGCTGGCCGGTAACCAGCCCCGCTGGCCGGGCGCCCGGCTCCCCGCGTCCCCCGGCCCCTGCGCCTGCCCCAGAGCGGCCCGAGCTGCCCCCCGTTTGCCTGGGGGGACGGGTGGACACAGGGAGCCCAAGCCCTGGCCRCTGCGATGGCCTCGGGCCACGCCGYGGCTGACGCTGCCGCTGTGCCCCCCCCGCAGCATCCCCCTCTGGGCCGGGGTCCTCATCACCATCGTGGACACCCTCTTCTTCCTCTTCCTGGACAAGTACGGTGAGCGCTGGGGCCGGGAGGCGGCAGCGGCGGCGCCCGCGGCCCCGCTCACCRGCGCCCCCCGCGCTCCCATCCCGGCTCCCATCCCCGCCAGGGCTCCGCAAGCTCGAGGCCTTCTTCGGCCTCCTCATCACCATCATGGCGCTGACCTTCGGCTACGAGGTAGAGCCAAGGGGAGCCCAAGGGCAGAGCTGGAACAGCCCCCGACACCAGCCTGGAGGGGACGTCAGCGCCCGGCTCACGGCGCCGCCGTCTCCTGCCCCAGTACGTGGTGGTGAAGCCGGCGCAGGCCGAGGTGCTGAAGGGCATTTTCGTGCCCTCCTGCCCGGGCTGCGGGCGGGAGGAGCTGCTGCAGGCCGTGGGCATCGTGGGCGCCATCATCATGCCCCACAACATCTTCCTGCACTCCTCCCTGGTCAAGGTGAGAGCGGGGCAGAGGACACCGGCCCCATCCCTGCGCGCTCCCTGCCGCGGGTGCTCCAGCACCCTGGGGTGTCCGAGGCATCAAGGGCTTTCACGGCGCCCATCACAGAGGGGACCGGTGGGCTATAGGGCTGGTGGCCTGGGGGCCGYGGGGCTTGGAGAAGGGGCACCCACGTGTGCCCTCTGCGCCCAGACGCGGGCGATCGATCGCTCCAAGAAGGAGGAGGTGCGGGAGGCCAACATGTACTTCCTGACCGAGTCCTGCCTGGCGCTCTTCGTCTCCTTCCTCATCAACCTCTTCRTCATGGCTGTCTTTGGCGAGGCCTTCTACCACCAGCGCAACAAGGACGTGGTGAGCACCKCCCGCTGTCCATGGGGACAGGGCCACCTTCCCGGGGTCACCCTGCTCGGCCAGCACCCCAGGGCCCCGGAGCGGGGCAGGACGAGCACCCCGGCCATGCCRGGGGTCACTGTCCCCGTCCCTGCG